CCAAGGAACAGTTCTTCTCCAGTCTCAAATACAGCGTGCAGCGGGCGATGCCTTCTCGTCTCGGTCAGTCCGATGACGTCGTACTTGATCTTCCTAGCTTGCATCATCAGGTCTTCTACACACGCTTCCGATGCAAGCGTCCGTGCGTTGAAAGTACAGATCGCCAAAACTGGAACATAATGAAGGAAAATTCTGTTCACCTTCGCCTTCGTGACAGTCCCAACCAAGTCTTTGTCCAAGATTCTCCATTGTCCTTACAACGAACGAATTGAACCTAGGAAGAAAACGTAGTTCAGCAAAAATCTAACCGAAGTCGATTGATGACTACCGCTTAGTTAACGAAGGATCCGGAGCATAATGTAAGACATTTGATATGTCATCGATTCCACCAGCCAATGATTGCCAAACAATATAGCCTTCCTCGTTATGCATAGCTCCCAAAACTGAAAGGAAGGAAGACGCTCGAACGCGCCCAGCTTGAACCTGAATAATTTCATATATTCAATCATTAATATTGGAAGAAACAGGCAATCATGTAATAATAAATCCAATAATTCAAACTCACCAATGCAAACAGGTCATTAACAATTGAGAAGCGATCGAGAAGAGGCATTTTTCCATTGGAAATGTCAGGAATCATAGCTTTCAGCATCTCTTGACTGTGGTCCACTCGATAGAAGCCACTAGNTTCTGACTGGAAGTCGTATGCGGGACGTGTCCCAAAAAGGGATTAAGGTCAAATATTTTAATTACCAGACTCTAAGCGCACACTGGAACATAAGGAAGGAAAATTCCGTTCACCTTCGCCTTCATGACAATCCCAACCAAGTCTTTGTCCAAGATTCTCCATTGTCCTTACAACGAACGAGTTGAACCTATGAAGAAAACGTAATTCAGCAAAAACCTAACCGAAGTCGATTTAAATGACTACCGCTTAGTTAAGGAAGGATCTGGAGCATAATGTAAGACATTTGATATGTCATCGATTCCACCAGCCAATGATTGCCAAACAATATACCCTTCCTCGTTATGCATAGCTCCCAAAACTGAAAGGAAGGAAGACGCTCGAGCGCGCCCAGCTTGAACCTGGATAAATTCATATATTAATCATTAATATTGGAAAAAATAGGCAATCATGTTATAATAAATCCGATTATTCAAACTCACCAATGCAAACAGGTCATTAACAATGGAGAAGCGATCAAGAAGAGGCATTTTTCCATTGGAAATGTCAGGAATCATAGCTTTCAGCATCTCTTGACTATGGTCCACTCGATAGAAGCCACTTGCACCAGCATTCAACTGTAACCAAAAAATATTTGCTTCCTATTGAAAAATCTACTACACGGTATGGCGGTGCGACAGCCTTGTATTTCTCAAAAACAGCACAATGAAAGCTCTCCGTTACTTTCAATCCTATAGCAACTATTCTTGTTAAGAAAGGAAAAGTGTGATATAAATGCAAATCAGCTTCACGCAACCCCTAAACTTCATCACTACCTTTGGCCATTTCTATTTAAGGCTGCCACTATCCGGCTTATTAGTCAGGTTAGCTGGATTTCAGCTATCCGATCAGACCCAGTGATTGGAAAAAAAGTAAATCTCCAATAAATGATTATTGCAAAGGCCACGAGCACCAGATTTAAACTACGTATTTATTAATGCTAAGTTCACTGGCTTGTTTATGTCAAGCTCTCCTTCTTGGAGACCGGAATTAAATTTGTCCTGCCCCGTAATTCCGGCCATTTCACCTTACTACCTACCACCACCCCTCCCCTTCTTAAGTAGAAAATTGATCAGAAGTATTTCATTTGTTCTAGAAGGAGCACTAGCCGTACGGCCTTACATTCTGACTCTGTGAAAGGAAAAATGGAAGCCCGGTGGCGGCCGGCACAGACACTGGTATATATCGTTCACAGTTTCGGGACATGGTTAGAGGTCAAGCAGAGAAAAAATAAACATAAATTTTACCTTAACCCACTCTCCTTCTGCGACATCTGGCACTTCGATGTCCTGGTCACGACCAACAAGAAGGAATTTGCCCTTCACTTCAGTCGGTTTCGATCCCACGCACACAGTGATTGGCACCTGAAAGAGACTGTTAGCACTCAGGCAAAGTGCATCCACAAACAAAAAAAAATAACTGAGGAAACTTGAAATCCAAAAAAGGTTTTCAAATGACTCAAAATTCACCTGCCAAAGAGAGTTTTCGGGATCTTCTCCGCCATCAGCAATGAACCTTTTTTGAGAAAGGGATAGAATTCTATTCTTTCCTTGCTGCCTATCAGTAACTGTGATTACTGGATATCCCATCTGCTTCGTCCAACCAGACATAAGTTTCGCCACGTTCTGTATATACAGATTAATAGAGCAATAGTGTTCTAACAGCTCAATTAATAGATTGCTAACCTGTTGCGAAGCGTCGCCGAGCGCATTCCACAAATCGAGCGTAACAGCATTGTCATACTGGAATTTCTTCAAGTAGAGACGTAATCCAGCTTGAAAGGTCTCTTCGCCAAGGTAGTGGAACAACATGCGGTTAACTGCGTTTGATTTCGCATAAGTGATGTTGTCGTAGATCTCTTCCAATTCACACGGATCATCTATTTCAACCTGAACCGTGTGCAGTTCACACTTTAGGATAATTTGGGGATAATGATATTCTTGAAAACTCAGAAGGAATGTTGCTGAACCTCGATGGGATGGCTGTTACGTAGTGCATCGAGACCGAAGCCTTGCGCCAACTCGTCATTAACGAAATGCTCCCAAATTTTGAACTCTGGGTAATTGGTACCGACAAATAGATATTCCATGAATGATGCAAATCCTTCTTTCAGCCAAAGATCAGTCCACCATTTCTGTAATGCTCAACTTCACGAAACTATCAAAGATAAACCTTAATTCAACTAAAATGATAATCAAATTCGTACCCACCATGGTAACAAGGTTGCCAAACCAGAAATGAGCAAGCTCATGGGCCACGACAAGAGCGACACGCGATTTCTGTCGTGTCGACGACTTGGCTGGATCTACTAAGAGGGCGACCTCACGGTATGTAACCAGTCCCCAATTCTCCATAGCCCCTGAAAGACAGATTGCTCAACAATTTTGTCGAGATAAGTAAAGAGAAGGGCTGAAGCAGCTAAAAAAGAGCACGAGTACACAGAATATGTCTATTTCGAAAGAAACGAAATCTTCTAACCCATGCTGAAGTCAGGTATAGCAATGAGATCACACTTCGGTAGAGGGTAGTCTATTCCAAACCAGTCGTTATACCAATCAATAGCTCTGAAATATTTTAAATACCCATATTTATTATGAATTATGACAAAGTACACATACTTAGCTGCCAAATCCAGAGAATATATGCCTTGGCTTCTCTTTCCAGGGACCGTAAACACTCTTATAATCGTACCACTTTTGGAACAAGTCTAAACACAAATATAATGAGGGTTAAAAACTCATTTGTAAC